CGGTACATTAGTACATCCCGCCCAGCATTTTTAAAATGCGAGTCAGCAGCTTTAAATGTGGGACTATTTCGCCTAAATTGGGATGTAGGTTTACCTCGAGTGCATGTGCTTTACCCGGATATTGTCGTGGAAAGTAGGTCGGTCAACCCTCGGAGTTTTGATCGCTGATCTAGTGTGCATCGCAAAAGCCAATGGTTATATGAACAGACTGGATGAGGTGTAGCTATCGAAGGTGAGGCGGGTTGATCTAACCGGACGGCAGGTCATGCATGCAAACCTCGTACTCCGCAGCCACAGACCGGACGTACATGCGGGGTCAGCAATGGTTGACTGCACAGTCACGTTGGCGACAGGCACCTGATCCACCACTTGACTGAAGCAGGGGCAAAGTAGCGAAAAGAGCAACTGAATGGACACTTCCTACAAGCCCTGAGAGACTGTCCTTACGTAGCATAGCGTACCGTGTCCACAGGTAAACATATGCGAGCGTTTTAACTGGGGCATTACATGTTGCTGAATTTGGCCGCACAGTATGACTCACGTGTGAACGGATGCACACAATCCGTTCACATACTTCGCCAAAGTTCGGTTTGCGTCAGTAGGACACTACCATTGCATGTGTGACCGGCCTCAAGAAATTCATATCAGCATTGATTTACCCCTATGTCTTCACAGTCTCGCGCACCGCTGAGAAATAAACTGTTTATTTACAACAGATAGTTCCCTCCAATAGTTTGAATAACACAATATGAAGACGATCACTGATAAATGCACGCATTTCGTATCATCTCATCAGTATCAATACAATAACTGGTAATTATCTTTTACAGTCCCAAGGGTGTTCCCAATCAGTGAAATGCCATGAGATGAACGGCGGCCGTCGTCCTAGGACCGGGGTATCCGTAGGTCAAAAACTGACTGTTTCTGCACTCACAGGACAGGTCTGTAGTGGACTCGGACCCGAAGAGAAATGAAGATGAATAAATGATGATCAGAAATGACAAGACTCACAGAAGGGTTCCGATGTGGGTTAGAAGTCCAACCACATAAAACTTCCTAGTCCTCTTGTGTCAGCAACTCCGATGGATGACAAACGACGATGGTGAAACCAGTTGAGATGGAACGAGATGTGTGGATGAATATTGCTCGAGGTTAGGACGTAGTGACTGACAATGCCATAAAGTCCGTGGCACAAGAACACAGAGAGAACACGTCGATTTGCCCGCGTGGTTCAAAAAGTGTGTTATTTATCAATCAAAACAAGTATACAAGGATAATGTACAAGAATTGGTTGTAATAGGAAAGGAATGTCCAATGAAAGATAAGGAAATTTACAGGCGCTACAGTACTCCCCCCTAGAACGTTGGAAAGAGAGCAAACGCTCGATAGTAATATTGTGTGTAGTCGCGGAAACGCACAGGAGTTTTGTTTGCCCTAACAGAACGGGTATGTGTTGTAGGGGGTTGGGGTAAACAGGTAGAGTCTGTAGGCGTAGTTGTCGTTGGATGCATACGAGTATATTCGGTACGAGGATCAGTAGCAGAGGAGGATGAGTGTGAGAAAACCGGAGTGGAGCTGGAACAATCATCCAGGTAGGCAACTTTCAAACGATCGAGACTGACAGAATCAGGCGTGCCGTTACGATCGACAACGTAATACTTGTCATGTCGCGAAATCACTTTTAATGGCCCTTCATAAGGCGGTTTCAGGGGCTTGTGAACAGCATCAACGCGAACGAATACGATGGGTCATGAATGTAAATCCTTATGAACTTGAGGTATGCGTGATGTCCTTCTCGTCGGCGTTGGCTGGAGCTGACTCATATGGTGTTTAAGCCGGGCGACATATGAATTGGGATCAGCTTCACCGGTGATTCTGGAATCGATGATCATCTCACCAGGAAGTCGGAGCGTTGTACCGAAGGTAAGCTCGGCAGGAGAGCAGCCGATGTCTTCCTTGCTTGTGTTGCGTATACTGAGCAGTATGATAGGTAAGGCTTCGTACCAGGATGTAGCGCTGGCTGTTAAAGCTGCCTTCAACTGTCTATGGAAACGTTCCATTAAACCATCAGAAGCAGGGTGATATGCGGTAATGCGTAAGTGGTTGCATCCCATGAGGCGGTTTAAGTCACGAAACAAGGTGGACGTGAACTGTGGTCCTCTATCGGTGGTAATGGTCTCAGGTACACCAAAGACAGATGCCCACGATTCAACGAAAGTGTGAGCGACAGTTTCGGCAGAGGTAGCAAGCAATGGGACTGCATGCGGCCATCTTGTGAAACGATCAACACAGGTCAATAAGTGCGTAAAACTGTTTGAAGGAGGCAATGGTCCAACTATATCCAGGTGAACGTGTTTGAAACGCGCGTTTGGAAGTGAGAAAGTTCCTGGAGTGGTAATGGTATGACGATGAACTTTACTCTTTTAGCATTGAATACAGGATTTTGCCCATTGTCTGATGTCAGTATTCATGTTTGGCCAAATACAGCGATCCGTGATGAGCTTAACGGTAGAACGGATGCTCGGATGGGAGTGGATATGAAGATGATCGAAAATCTTCCGCCAGTACGACAATGGGACGTATGGACGCGGATTTGTGGCGATTTATAGCGTAAAGGCTTACCAAAAGAAAAAACCACCAAGTCCTTGAAGAGTCCGCCAAACCACTTGCCGCAGCGGGAAATTCCAGACTCCCTCAGCACCACGGGGAGGTTGTTCGACAGTTAACAAAAGTCTTGTTGTCCGACTGAATAAGGACAGATTTAAGTCAGAAGCTCATCAAAAATATTTCGTAGAAATTTTCCTTTTAATGTCCAGTGAAACCTACAAAAGTAGGCAGCGGATTTCACTAGCTGCAGAGAAGTCGTACTCAGGATACTAGTCCAAGTCGAACACGGGTCTTAGCCGTAATCTTTTCCCAATTTGTTTGCAAGTATACATTCATGTTTCTGATACGGAATCACTGCTCAGACCAGACAATATTCACATGCATTCTTAACTCCAATTTGATCCGACCTCTAAAGAATCGAAAAAATTGGTATACCTTGTTAGTGTATGCCACGGCAATTAAGACAGATCGTTGGTATTGCCGGATGTCTGAATTCACTTAGTAAAGTGTATTGGCTGGGTTTTAATTGCGCTGTTGTAATTGTACACTTCCGGTTCCATCGACATATAACCACGTGCCGTTAGCTGAAACATCAGCACGATAGTGAGCGCTTCATCCATCACAAACACAGAGTTCACTGACGTAAGTGTCCTCTGCTTTCTTACCTAGCTACTTCAACTTCATTAGCAGAAAGTATTATATTGCACCACTTTGATACCTTAGTTTTCTGTAACCATTTGAGTTGCTGTGCTTTACCACGTGTATTAATAATAATGCGTATATTTCTCTTGATGAGAGAAACTGGGTCTATAGCGGCATAGATCGATTTGTACAGAAGAATCCATGCTCTTGCATTAATGACAAGCAAAGCTGGAGTATTGGGATATGTGTTTCATATAGTAAGATTCTGGCGGATGGTTGCTTCCAAAGCCAAGTTTTGAAAACATTGGTGTTTATATGTTTTTGGGGCCCACTTGGAATAGGCCATCGACGGATTTTTCCCATGGGAATATAGAGCTTAGGGCAATTAGATCAAGGTACTTGGCGAGTCTGCTACTAAATGTTGTCATATTATCACATGACCTGAGTGTTATTGGTAGTTTATTCCACAGATAGCTGTATCTGACCAGGAAGAAATTAGAGCATACGTTCGTTCTAACCTTCGGTATATTCAGTGTAAAATGGTTGTTGCGAAGCGCTCGAGTTGAGCAATGTTGCAAATTGAGTATAGACAGATTGGAATATGTCTTTTTGTGTAACATGTTGAATATAAAGTCGAATCCACAGTGATTTGAGATGAATTTCATTGCAACGTTCTCGATAACTCACAGCAGAGTGTTTGCTAATCAGATGTTTAGTAAATGACCTCTGCAGGCTCTCCACAGCAATTCTGTCACTCTTTCTCTTACCGCCATATATTATGCTGCAGTATTCGAGGATGGGACAAGTGAATAGCTTGAATATCTCAACTCTAGCACGAGCTGTGTGTGTTTCATTGGATATATTGCACATAGACTCTCCTGCACGTGCTACTTGGTATTGGGTCTGTTCAGACTAATTGAAGGTAGACGAGTACCTAGTTCTAAGTTCTCGTGTAGACAACTGTGTAGGGACGCATACATTTTTAAGTGTGATAGATCCTACAGAGATACAGCAGCCGTAAGACTTGATGCTTGATTACTTAGCCGAGAGGTTCATCCCCCAAGTGAAGCACCATGGCTCAAGGGAATGTAAATCTTGAATGCTCAGTAATGTCCCGTGAAGCTCGTTAGGCAGAAGCTTATAGACTAGTTTGATGTCGTCAGCAAGTAAAAATGATGTGCCAAATATTACAGACATGGTGATGTCATTGCTGTAGAACAACACAAATAAGAGACCTTGCACGATCCCTGGAATTACTCCACTGGTGATTGAACGTGGGAAAGAGCGATAGTCACCTAAAGTGATTATCGGATAACGATCACACAGGCATAACGATAGCCAACCTAGTAATGGGTTCCGGATTCCAAAGTTCTCTAACTTAAAGTGCCTTCTAAGTTTTGTATGTTGCGGATGTTTTATACTTAATTCCTTTCCTAGATGATTCTAGGTACAGCGATACCTCTCTTAACTAGAGCAGGCGATAGCACAAAGAAGGTCAAGTATGGTTACTGATGAAGCCTCTGTATACTGATTTTATCAATTTCCCTATAACATGATTAAACATAAATTGCTCCAGGATCTGAATTGATACTTACGAATTGTGTTGCGTTTTCAAAAAATTCCCAGACGCGCTGTCGGTTTTGTCGCAGATAACTAAAGTTTACTGCCACTAAATTTTCCGGTAGGCAGAGTCCTTACTATGCTTTTGTATATCTTGGTCTATTTGCTTACCTTGAAATTATTTTGCATAGGGGTCATTCAAATTCGTGGCCTTCAAGAATTATGCCGCATATGGTTCTCACACTTTGCGTCGCCATCTCTGTTTTATTGATAACGGTTACGGACTGTCACGGTGAGTTAAATGGTTTAGAAATTCCATTTTTAACCTAAGCTTGGAGAGATTAGTAGTGTAACTGATTCTATTTCATCAGCCATTAAGTAAACCCAAAGAAAGTAATAAGGCGAGAGAGATATGTAAAGGCTACCTTGTTTTCGGCGGAATCTCGATCGCTTATTCTCATTCTCTAGGGCATATCTGAACAAGCTGTAAATGATCGATCGATAAACATCAACAAGCAACAAGGTGATATGTTTTAAAATTAATAATTAGGACTTCGGAGTGAAAAGTTAGCGATTTAGCTAACAAATGTCATCAGATGTCTCTAGCAATTTGACCGTTTAGATTTTTAGCCTGTATTCGCGTAATAAACCTCATTCTACCCGACGACCACTAAATTATTTCTCATGGTTTAAATACCTAAGCATGTATGATCCTAAGTCTACAGGATGTCATTCTTGCCAAACAAAAGTTAACCGCAATGCGGGCAGTGATGATCCTCGCAGATAATGGAGCAGGGTACAGTTATAAGGAATTACATATATGAGATATTAGTGATAAGCAAATCTTGTGGAGACTGACTAAAAAATGATGCCCAGAGGCTAGTGAGAATGACATCCAGGCCTCTATAGAAAACCTCTGACTGTGCAGCGTTATTCATCACTGATTAGTCCAGAAGGGATTAAATGACCATCTGGATATTTTTCGAAATCTGGTTATCCTACCTATTGCCTAGTTATTTAACTTCCCTTTACTTACAACAGCTAGTCAGAAAGACAAGTGATAATCAGCGGCATTGCAAATCCAGTGAGTTCTTTGGCATACGGCAGTCTCGTGACAGAAGAGTTAGTTAGTCACTGCTGCGGTTGCCTGCACAGTGTATTAGTCAATACAACAACGCGACAGTCACTTTCCAATACATTTTAACCATGCCATTAACTAACCAACAGGAGATTTTAGCTGGTATAACACGTTAAAATCAATTAGGCGTGATTAGCATCTTTAGTAGAAAAGTATTGAATGACTAATTTCATAAGTTAAGTGCGACAAACCAGGGTGAAGCCGTACAATTCGTTAAGTAATGCCAATCAAAAATGCTATTTGTAAACTGAAGCTTGCCGTTTCTTTTGGATTTAGGAAGGCACACGTCGGAAGCATGTTACTTTGATCCGATAGACATAACCTAGTGAAATACCAAATTTCGAGTATAATTCAACTTCAACTAAGGTCTTAATCAACTAATGGTCTGAAAGTTACTTCACGGTGAATCATGGTGAAGATTAATATCGCGTGCCGCGATGCATTTAGAAAAGAAATACTGCGAAATGACTACTTCCGGCGCGCACACAGGTTTTCGCCTGACTCATCCGATGCAAGTACCAGAATCTGACTTTCTTTACGTGTAGAGAACCTTTTAACCTAAACCCAATGTGGGGATAGTTAAAATGTTAACTAGTTTAATGATGTTTGCTGTGGATAGCTGTGAATTCGGGGTATCGCTGAACCACATTTACCGTTGTATTTAATTAGGAAAACTATGACCGACATTATCAGGGCACTTAAATCTCATGCAATCAATCTGGCTTGTATTCGAGAAAAGGAATGTGGCTTCCCTTCTGCCATTCTTCATGCACTTTTTATGCACAAACTCCGTCTTTAAAAGGTCTGTGCTCACTGTGTAAAGCACGGGAGAGTTGCTTGTTTTGTTTGGCGTTAAGGTAATGAAAATTACCCGGCACAGCTCACGATCACAGCAAAGCAGTAGAATATACTCTATCGCAATTATTTTGATTAATGCCTTGAACGTAGGTGAAGATCTGAACAGTTGCTGCCAGTCCATCTAACCGTAAATGACATGGTTATAACTGCCAGGGACATTTTTCTCTTTCCCTAACATACGCCATACATGAACGTCAAGTGCCAAGCTAGTGGCTCCAAATTGCCGATTGACATAAGAAAACCTAAGCTTTCACTTCATGGTGCTTAAAAATAAGTTGAGATTTTCTAGCTATGGAAGTATTAACAACCTAGACTATGCAAACAACCTAAACCTGGGAATTAGCCGAACTTTCTAAGCGCAACACTTACTCGCAATATGGACTGTGGTATCAGAAATAAGAGGTAGCGAAAAACTATGTTCACGACCTGCCGCTTTCACTTACTTCCGGAATTATTTCTTAAATCCGATTTGTTGGATGCAAATTGATGACCTACCACTATCAATAATTAAAGTCTATAATTTTTTGCAACAGCCTAGTTCATATTTGAAGTTTACCAAATAACAAATGCAATTCTAATCTTTGCTACTTACGTATATACATGGAGTAATTTTGTTTTATCTAAATCAACTGTCCGCAGAAACTCGAAGAGTCATCTATCACGGACCAGAGTCATACAAGGGTTATCACAGGTCTCAGCCGAGGTCGCAGCCGAGGCTTCATGCAAGGGAGGACATCCGTGGTGTGAGGCTTTATGGTGAACGAAGGAACGACAGAACGTATCAAGAAGGATTGGGTGAAATGGCTGCGTTGATGGATTAGTCAAGATTTTGTTCAAAGTCTGTACGCACCCATGGAGAACACTGAACCGCGGAAAAATTAATTATAATTATTAAATATTACTATAAAATAAAAAGTTCCTATCGTATTTTGCTCCTTGTATTGCATAGTTTATCAAAGCACAATGTCAAAGTGCCACCCAGGCCGATCCTTTTAATTATGACCGCGGGCCAACATAGACAGGCTCGTTGTTTTGTGTAAGTGTTTTGTCCAATAAGACAATGGGGAAATCCTACATTCAGAAAGAAGCATTTCAACTCTGGTGAATTGGATGAAACCAAGCTGTCTGAAAATGTCATGCGTTTATTGGATATGGAATCGTACAGTCCAATGTCCCGCTACGAAAGCAACATTTTGCGTGCGCGAATTGGATAAAATCTGTCGCATTTCGCCTAGAATTCCAACTTATATTTCTGTGAGAATCCCCGTTATTGCCCAAGAAGAATGTCACCTATTGAAAGCAATACGAAAATGAGGCAATGAGAAATTTAAAATGCAATGTATACGGAACTGCATTCCTAACATTTGTGCATGCTATTTTCATGACCAGAAGGCTAGTTGAGATTGCGCGTCCCCCAGATTGCCACTGTGTCAAAACCGCAAAAATATACGGCCAGAAAACCAGACATTTCGTATTTAGCATGCCTATTTCCAAACAGGATTCGTATTGGACTCTGAATTACCTCAATGATACAATGCCGAACAAGGTTCAAGAAAAAAAAGTGATTTAAAACGCTGAAGTATTCAAAGTAACGTAACGTTTAAACTGCAAACAAGATTTATATACAAGTAAAAGATTAATGATTGTAAACAAAATGCACGTGGAAAAATCATGTGCCACCAGGATTACGTAAGTTAAAATCTTGCCCTAATGATGCCGATGAAGAATCGTGCGTAATCCGTCCACTTATTTTTCAAATATAAGCGGAGTTAAGTAAATGGAAAAATCCCATTTCATTATCAGGAGCAAAAGAACGAAGGTGAAACGTTGTTTTCGATTATTTATCTTCGAACCCGCACAAACATATGAGTGCAATAACAATGGACGTAAAAGTGGATACGATCAGTTCCAATAAAATGGGATCACTTGCCGACCAATGGCATGAACCAGCAACAAACGACAAACTAGGAAAAAGGTGTAGTTGCAGAAATACAGTTGTCCCACAAGGAGCCGTTTGGTCTGGCAAAGGTAAATTAACAGATTCGATCAGCTTTCTTGTGCACACAAATACGGTTGCTACAACCGTATGCTCATCGCCTCAGAGGTAGCAAGTTTGTGAAGGCGCAGGCTTTTCGACTGGAGTGGAGGGATATTGTATAGTATCCGAAATGTAACAAGATGAGCAATAACAGAGCTAGTTATAGCCCCAGTACTGCCTCGACCCAACCAGCGTAGTAGCTGCTCCTTAATGCGCTTTGACAGCTGCCGCGCCGTTCGACAGATGTAAGTAGTGCCACAGGCGCACTCGAATTGATAAATAACCATAGAAGCGGTCAGCGTCGGCAACATGTCTTTTTTGGGGATACGAATGTGTGGCTCCGCAGCAAAAGTACACCTGAGATTGGCTGCTGGGAAAGTTGACTTCACAGCCATTGAAATACTCCTAGTTACAAGCTCAGCACCGGCGTCCCCTTTGAAGTGTAGTCGTATGCATCGTTCTTTATGCCATGCTGTCTGAACTTGCAACAGGAATGACTTATCTTGCATGATTCTATGAATGGACGGTCAGGATATCCATTTTCACGCAGCGAATTCTGAGTGAACCACAATTCGTTATCCAATGCATCTTCAGAACAGATCCTGTGTGTCCTTGTGGTTAGACAGCAAATTAGATTTCGCATATATCTCGAAAGGTTTGCGCCTTCGCAAACTTGCTACCTCCGAGGCGTTGAGCATACGGTTGTATCAACCGTATTTGTGTGCACAAGAAAGCTGATCGAATCTGTTAATTTACCTTTGCCAGACCAAACGGCTCCTTGTGGGACAACTGTATTTCTGCAACTACACCTTTGTCCTAGTTTGTCGTTTGTCGCTGGTTCATGCCATTGGTCGGCAAGTGATCCCATTTTATTGGAACTGATCGTATCCACTTTTACGTCCATTGTTATTGCACTCATATTTTTGTGCAGGTCGGAAGATAAATAATCGAAAACAACGTTTTACTTTCGGTCTTTTGTTATTGATAGACATAATTATTTACGTAGTTATAGTTACATCTACTAGGGTGTGCGAGGTTAGTCATTGACTGCTAAAACCTAATTACGACCTAGCAGGCAACGGCACTTGTATCATGAGTCTTTAATTGAGAGTCTTTCAATACCTTCTCAAGTATTCGATCACTTTTTTATGAAGTTATTAGATGAATCCTTGCTTTAAAATGCTTTGTAGGTAACACGCCGCCTGCCACATGATCATTAATGTAACTTACGGTAAGTCATTATTTTCATTAGAATCATAAGAACGTTTATCGTATTCATAAGTGTGCAATAAATTGATTGCTAAGTAATAATATGATGAGGGATACAAAACAATACACTAATGGAGAACAAAATCCATCCCAGAATCACTAACCTAATAGTAAACAGAAATGAAACCAACTAGCGGAAAATGAAAATGTGACATGCAAATATCATCGTTTACTAGTGTCTAACCATCTTATCTTATGGCGACTTTTTCTTTATGAGCATACTGATATTTAGTGAGTAAAACTCAGATACAGTGGAATGCATGCCTGCCTGTACTTCTTACCTGAAGCATACCAAAAATTGATAGCTAACTGGATGGTGATACTTGGTAGGTCACTTTCAGTTATTTAACCTGTTCCTCTCCTTTTTGATAACAATGCTGTAATGATCTAAGGAAAATATTGACAGTAAAACAATGCTATCTTTCTGCGTTAATTATTTTGGTTTTACGTTTTAACCTCTTTCTTGGATTTTCTACAAATACACGCAATTCGCTTAACTGTGTACAGCTCACATTTATTTAATTATCTGTTTCCGGTTCCGGTTAAGCTGAGTAGTAATTGCCCAAGTCAAGTAGACCTGATTCACAATTGGTTATTATTGGCATTCAAGGGTTCGGTGTCGTTAGGCCAACATGCTTGCTACAAATTCACAGGCCAAACACCTTTTGGGAATTGGAAATTTAACAAGTAGATTTTATGCACGCGCTATGCATTAGTGACTTGGGAAATCATATGAAATCATACTTTGTTCTGCCTTCCTTAACCTTTTGCTATCCATGGTATTCATGGATTTCGTCCTCAAATGCAATTTCTTCATCGTCGTGAGGCGATCGTGTAGGTAGCGATCGATTTTGCTGACACTCACGTCCACCTCGGACTCCACTTTCAGTCGTCACCGAGGCGTTTCCAAGGTAACCCTAGTGACCTATTCTAACTACTCCGACAGGCAATCCACTTGACTACCTGACGTACACTTTCGACGGGACACGCTTCGGTCTCTTTTCTGCTCATGCAACACTAAAGTTCTAGCCCAACTTCTGCATGGCTTCACATTTACCTGTAACAGAGATGCAATGCCCTTCCAGTCGTTACCCTATTCATGTCATCAGGATTAAAACCTTCACATCGGAAGAATGACAGACGGATGTTCTTCCCATCGCGAGTAAAGTAATCTGAAGGTTAAAGTACCATATAAATCAAAGTAAAGACAAAATTGGTAGGTAACTATGAGGAAGCTTTTCTTCTCACCTTGCACGCTGCTTGCGGTTCCCGTGCAACCAAACTGGGGGAAAGCATAAGTGACCACTATGCTGACCAGAGACTGACCATGGCAACCGTATGAACGTTTCCACTTATACGTCAGGCACGTGATATCACCTTGACATTTCGGAACTAAACTTAGGCCCCTGCATGCCAAATATGTGTGAGGTCCGCTGTTTGACTATTATGTTGTTCCGCTCAGGCCATTGGGTGTAATGACCCCAAACTTTTTACACCGCTCACATTCCACACCTACGCACACGTAAGTAAGGTCCCGCATGCGAGGTCCATGGCTGACTCTTCAGTGTGATCCGGAATAAATTTATATGGGCATTTGATTTAATTTTCTGCATTAAGGACGAAAGCTGATGCGTAAATATTAAACGGATCGCATTAAGGTTGAAATCAATTGCGAAATGATATAATCTACGTGAATACGCTGTGGCCAGAGGAATTTTCTGGAACAGAAAGGAGTTGACGTCACTTTTCGCTGCGAGTTCCGGGTCAAAAGTCATGGTGGTTTTACGCCAAAATAACAAGAAGGTGTTTATGGTCCGCTTTATGCATTTGCTCCAATCCGGAAGGGATGAACCACGGACAATTTAGAACTTTGGTTCAACCAAGCAACATGCGACATGGGATACATCTGGCCAGATTGGCTTTATTACGATGGGCAGATACAAATATCTTCATATCGTGATACAGTTAATCTTAGCAGTAATTCATCTGAGGAGCGCTTGCAATCGTGGCAATTTCCTTTATAAACTGAAGAAGAGAAACATCCTAGCCAATTCAACGTACATTCGTGATTAAATTCAAATTACGGTCAACGGTTTGCAGAGGTCGATAGAAGCTCGGTTGGGACATAAACGCCCAGTAACTGGAACGCATTGTTATGATCTCCTCAGCCTGCGACTTTTTCGAAAAATCATTACAAACGTTAATAACAGTCGTTTGATAAACTGAAGGATGAAAATTCCTATGAAGAACTACTTCGTTTGGTTCTTAAAACTTTCCGTTTGGAATCAGATAAACTTAGGATATTTGAAATAGCGACGGGTAATTTATTGTTCCATTACATATCCCAGCTGCAATTACATTTTATTTACTTGAACAATGTTGGACTCCACCAATGTTGGATTGCTGAACTACCTCCTGTGGGGGCAGCTTGGTGATTCGGGTTTACCAACTTCCAGCTAAATGTTCGGCGGCATTGTTTTAGGAAGTGGCGGCTTTTCCTCTGACAAGCGTTCTCAATACCAAAAATCACACATTTCTGCTTAACAACACTGCAACTTGGCGGATGTGACTCATCATGAAACAGTCAAAGTTCCTTGCTTCACCTAGGTGGGCGTTGTAT